GGGTGAATTAAGGATTAACCCAAAATTAAGAGTAGAAAAAAATCTTTAACATGGAACAAACCTCGCAAACAGCGGTGTGATGCTCCTCGGCCTCGGCCTCAATGAGCGCTGCGAGGAAGAACGGCTGGTGACTGATAGACAGCAGGTTTGTCTGCTCATCAAACAGAGGTATAATGTCATTGTGATCCTCAACCCTGAAAAATGGAAAAATGGAGACACCTACACTTAAAAATATCACCAGTCAATGTACTATTTCTATTATTCTATTTCTGCTGTGCAGTGTGAACGGGCTCCCTGATGCCTGACAGTTATCATCACCCCTGCAGCTGTACAAACACTCTTTATCCACTTTTGGATCATAGATTAAGATTTTACATTTAGATTTAGCTTTGGGTTCATGTTATTCATTTGCACCTGTAGGCAGATCTGGTTACTCATACATTCACATATCTACAGTTTTTAAAACGACACAGAAAACAGATAAAGATAACACAACACAGGAAAAAAGCAACCGTACCATATCATGTAAGACTGTAAAAGGTACAATTCATCAGGTGGACACAAATAAGAAGGTATTATCTTGTGGAAGTTTGATAAAACAGTTCATTTCTAACATTTCAGTGCAGCTATGTAGTGTAGTGGTTTACGCATTCATGTGACAGGCAAAAGACCTACAGCCCCAGATCCCCTTGGGATGTCTGAGGAAGGGTATCTGGTGCAAAAAGTCTGCCAAAGAAACATGTGGAGCTTCCCTCTGTACTTCCTACTACTGAGAGAAAGTTCTTCTGCCACCTGGTGGCCAAAAAGAAAATAAATTCAGCTTTAACTTTACCACCAGGTGCACTGTGGAATGATCACTTTTGCTCAGGGAGGTATATATATATATATACAGTGGCTTGCAAAAGTCTTCGGCCCCCTTGAACTTTTCCACCTTTTGTCACATTACAGCCACAAACATGAATCAATTTTATTGGAATTCCACGTGAAAGACCAACACAAAGTGGTGTACACGTGAGAAGTGGAACGAAAATCATACATGATTCCAAACATTTTTTACAAATAAATAACTGAAAGTGGGGTGTGTGTAATTATTCAGCCCCCTTTGGTCTGAGTGCAGTCAGTTGCCCATAGACATTGCCTGATGAGTGCTAATGACTAAATAAGTGCACCTGTGTGTAATCTAATGTCAGTACAAATACAGCTGCTCTGTGACGGCCTCAGAGGTTGTCTAAGAGAATATTGGGAGCAACAACACCATGAAGTCCAAAGAACACACCAGACAGGTCAGGGATAAAGTTATTGAGAAATTTAAAGCAGGCTTAGGCTACAAAAAGATTTCCCAAGCCTTGAACATCCCACGAGCACTGTTCAAGCCATCATTCAGAAATGGAAGGAGTAGCACAACTGTAAACCTACCAGACAAGGCCGTCCACCTAAACTCACAGGCCGAACAAGGAGAGCGCTGATCAGAAATGCAGCCAAGAGGCCCATGGTGACTCTGGACGAGCTGCAGAGATCTACAGCTCAGGTGGGGGAATCTGTCCATAGGACAACTATTAGTCGTGCACTGCACAAAGTTGGCCTTTATGGAAGAGTGGCAAGAAGAAAGCCATTGTTAACAGAAAACCATAAGAAGTCCCGTTTGCAGTTTGCCACAAGCCATGTGGGGGACACAGCAAACATGTGGAAGAAGGTGCTCTGGTCAGATGAGACCAAAATGGAACTTTTTGGCCAAAATGCAAAACGCTATGTGTGGCGGAAAACTAACACTGCACATCACTCTGAACACACCATCCCCACTGTCAAATATGGTGGTGGCAGCATCATGCTCTGGGGGTGCTTCTCTTCAGCAGGGACAGGGAAGCTGGTCAGAGTTGATGGGAAGATGGATGGAGCCAAATACAGGGCAATCTTGGAAGAAAACCTCTTGGAGTCTGCAAAAGACTTGAGACTGGGGCGGAGGTTCACCTTCCAGCAGGACAACGACCCTAAACATAAAGCCAGGGCAACAATGGAATGGTTTAAAACAAAACATATCCATGTGTTAGAATGGCCCAGTCAAAGTCCAGATCTAAATCCAATCGAGAATCTGTGGCAAGATCTGAAAACTGCTGTTCACAAACGCTGTCCATCTAATCTGACTGAGCTGGAGCTGTTTTGCAAAGAAGAATGGGCAAGATTTCAGTCTCTAGATGTGCAAAGCTGGTAGAGACAACCCTAAAAGACTGGCAGCTGTAATTGCAGCAAAAGGTGGTTCTACAAAGTATTGACTCAGGGGGCTGAATAATTACACACACCTCACTTTGCTTTGTTAAAAACAAAGTGGAATGAAAATCATGTCTGATTGTATACCACTTTGTGTTGGTCTTTCACGTGGAATTCCAATAAAATTGATTCATGTTTGTGGCTGTAATGTGGAAAATTTCAAGGGGCCCAAATACTTTTGCAAGCCTCTCTCGATAGATAGATAGATAGATAGATAGATAGATAGATAGATAGATAGATAGATAGATATTGCATCTGTGAGTCCACTGGTCTGAGTGATGTAAATGTCATTGTCAGACAGTGAGTGTGAGCCTCTGGGCAGACATCCAGGTACCTTTACAATATACAAACTACGCAAGTGCCCTCCAGGTAGACTTCAAAGAAGTGTAACAAGAAGGAATACTCTGCTGTGTTTGCCCATGTCCATGCCCACAAACTTGTACAAACCCTGCTTAACACAGCTATGAAAAATTAAACATAATTCAGGGCTTCCTTTATTACGTCCTTCAGTAGAGGATAGTTTTTGAAAAAATGAAATAATACCATCCCTCAATTCAAAGTGATGCACCATCAGAACAGTCACAATTCTCGTATGCACATTTTTCAAAACTAGTGTAATTACTCACAGTAATTACCCTCATTGTAATTACTGTTGAATTTTCCATCACAGCTTGCTAATAATATGCCAAAGCGCTGTAAAGTTATATCAACTTTATCTACTTATAAAGTTGTTTCCTTGTTAGATGCACTTTATGACAGGTTTAGAAAAATCCTTAACAAAGGCAAGAATTTATGGATCAGGAAAGCTATTTAATTTCCCCTTGTCACTGGAAAAGGTAATGAGCTGGCTCCACTGTTTTCCTGAAGTTCCTTCTGTCTGTTTTGCATTTTCTCTTTTTTTTCTGGCAGTTCTACATTTACCACTCCTAAAAACATCCTTGGTTAAACCTGCATCTTCTGTGCCAGAACTCTTAAGCATTATTTAACAGCCTATTGTAAGTTCAGTCATGAAATAAACTGCTGTGCTCATAGAATCTTAGTTCCTATGAGTTCTTCATCACATCTTACATCAAAATTCAAGTGAATAAATGTTTATTTATAGTACATATAGTGCTCTTTTATTCACTCTACTGTTTAGTAGCCTGGGAAGGAATCAGTGGAAATCACCTGGCTGCGCGGACAATAGGCCGGGGACAGTGAGCTTTTCTGTGGCAGATCAGTGCCAAGCACTGAGGCCCGGGGTCGGTCACACGCTCCAACGGCTCAAATATTTCATCCAGCGCTGGCTCTGCAAGCACAAAAAACACCTGCATGGGCCTCTTGGAAATTAATGCTTAAGTGAATTATAGAATTTAACTTGCTAAATCGAAATCACCTAAACTACCAACGTGTGGGCTGAGCAGACAGACGTATTCAAGCTCAGCAATGGCGTTAAAGATGGCCCTGCGAAACAAAGCGCATCAAGAAAAATGATCATTTTACACATAATGCATTCAGCTTTCAGGACGTGCATACTGTGCTTGCTTCTAATCAAAGTGCATTGTAGTATCTCCCTTGCACTGATATATGAATCTCATCGAATGATACAAGAATTTTTTTAAAAAGGGCTTTTTTTTAATCATACCTCATTATCTCTTTCACACTTGCTGTGGTGAAATTCGGCCGTGCCACAAAAAGGTGGAGGAAAAGTGTGTTGAAAGGCTGCAGAAAGACGACAGTTTAATCCACTGCAGGTGTGAGCTCAGTTCATTTCATTTCATCTAAGCAGAGCATGGGCACTTGGCCACATTATTTCCAGCAGATATTAATTGTCTCTACTTAATGAAAACCTTATGTTAAAATCAGTGAATAAAAGGTACAGACTGTCCATTGTCCAACACTGAAGTGTTCCTGCACGAAAGCTTCCCACTGCGTCTGATCCACCAGATCTCCAATAGGGTGATCAAAGAAGGAAGCGTGGCCTAGGATGTCGCCCTTTTCATTGGTCAGAGTCACAGCCAGGTTAGCTTTCTCTCTGAACAAACATGACGAGAAAGTTCAGTGATGGTCTCTGTAAGGGTTTGAAATTAACTGAGAGCACAGATGTCTACATTAATCACCACATAACTGTGATGAGAGAGTGGCATCCACCACATGTTATCAGAGGCAACTTGGTCCTCTTGGATTCTCCAAAGGAAAACTGAAAGAAATAGTTTGAAGCAGTTGCTATGACCGCCAGGTGGAAGTGGGAGAGCTGAGAGAAGAGCACCAGTTGAGGTGGTTAAAGCGTGTGAATCCCTCTTAGGTGAGGTGTTTTGGGGATGTATAAGCCCCCATAGCAGGCACCACACTGCCCTTAGAGGTGGGGAAAAAATCAGTATATCATCGTATTACTAAATTTTGTGTGGCAATATTGTTTTGATACAATAAATTAAAAATATTCTTTGAATACTATGAACAAGAGGCGTAAGCCCACACACCACCATTCTCTGATAATGTTACCTGACATTATGAAAAAATTTCAACTGTGTAATAGAAATAGAAAACAATCTAACCCAGAGCTTTACAAAGTCCTCCCCCCCCCCAACAAAAAAACAACAACAACAAAAACAAAAAAACGAAAAACAACTGATTGCCACTTGTGGTGCAATCAGCAATCATTGCCTGAAGCTCTCACAATCACTTTTGATCACCAGGCGATTGCACAGGTCGCCTGATAGGAGGCAACCTTTCGGCAAACAGTTGTAGTCTGACTTTGACCGACTGCAATCATTTTCGAGACCTAACTCCCATCCCCTCCAACACTATAATTCTCCTACAGTTCTCAGCATGAAAATTGATGTGAGCAAATAAACAAGAATAGATATTACACTATTCTATTCTTGTTTATTTGCTCACATTTGCTTAGACATTACACTTAAGACAAGAATAAACCACCAGTCTGTGCAGAACAACAGTAATATTATATCACAGCTATATATCAAAGAGACGATAGAAATCTTTTCAGAGACTGCATAATTCCAAAATAATTATCTAACAGTGTTTAAAACAACTTATTCAGCTTGTAGGTGTGTTTGTGTGCAGAGAGCATTTACGGTCTAAACTCTGCTGCTGAGATGTTTAAGAAGAAAAACTTTTCTCACAGCAGATGAATAACATTGACTCTTCCAAACACCGCCTGCGCAGATGGACTAATGAGGCCGTCTATCTCTTCAGCGTCCGCGGACTCGCTTCTCCTCACGGTCACGGTTTCCTCCCGGGCGCTGTCTGAGGTTACAGTCTGCATCTTCACCCGTATTATATGGATAAATAGTAATAACAAAACTAAAGCAGACAAAAGACGGCCCTTTTGTAATAAACTATAATATCAGGCTGGTGGATAGAAGAAGGTGAAATAGTAAGTAAATATAAATGAATTCAGCTCACTGTTTTCACCTATAAAGAAACCAAACCCAGTTGCCATAGTAACGTAACGCCAGAACTCCCGCGGTTTAACCGGAAGTCATAAATCAACCTTTTAAAGAACTAAAATCAGTCTAGAAACGAGTTTTTAGTCTTCATCAAAACTTCCTTAAACTGGACAAATGAACTCAACTGAAGTCCGTTATAGTGAATATATTCTCTATATCGGACAACGTACATATAAACTATTCAAAATGCCATTGGCGAACAAACGGTAGATGGCAGCAACACGTCTGCGTTTTGAACAAAAAGACAAAGAAGAAGGCGCGGGGCATTGTGGTTACTGTCATGGTGGCTGACGCTCGGTGAGACGGAAACGTTTCGCTGTCTGTTTGCGCCGTTCGGTAGTTGTCGGGACAGTTTAAGTGAGGTTTTTAACGTTGTTTGTTGGTTAAACCTGCCATCAGAATGGCGTCTACAGCGGCAGGGAAACAGCGGATACCGAAGGTGGCGAAGGTAAGCGAACAGAGCAGTATCAGAGCTCCAGGCTAATGCTAACATAGAACTCGGGCTAACGGAGCAGAACTAACATCTAATCTCATCTTTTCACTGCCAAAGTTACTCACAAAAACGTGCTACACTGTAGTAGTTTTAGGGGTATTTTACCTGCTTAACAGGTAGTTCTGTGGTCTGAGTTTCACACAAGTTACATTAGCTGTAAACTTTCACCACGCTCTGCTTTGTTTTGGCTTCCATGTGTTTTACGTGTGCTTAATTTATTCTTGTTTATATTGGGATTTAAAATCTGGCACATTTGCGTTCCTTTGTGTCTTTAAAGTTAGAAATGTGTTTAAACATGTATGCAGTTTCTGAAAAATGACTATTATAGTAATAGGACTGTGTGGACTGTGATTGTGTTTGCAGGCGACAGTGTGATCTGTATTGAGAGTAGGGAGCTTCTGGAGGTATATGGAAGCAAGACAGAATACATGTGTGTAAATGAGAGGGAGACGGGTGTACCAGTGAAGCTGAAAGCAGTAGAGGAATTTATGGTGGATGAGTTTGAGTATCCGAAGTCAACCATCCAAAGCAACGGACAGTGCGCAAGAGTGGTAAATAAGAGAGTGCAAGCAGGGTGGAGAGGAATGTCAGGGGTGATTTCTGACATGATAGAGGCAAATGAGAAAGGAAAAGCTTACAAGATGATAGTGAGACCTGCAGTGATGCACGGTTTGGAGACTGAAACTCACAGGAAGCAGAGCTGAAGGCCAGAGACAGCTCTCACCAGACAACGTTAGAGGCAGAGATGGTTCCAACATGTGCAGAGGAGGGCTAGTGGATATACTGGTCAAAGGATGTTGAAGGTGGAGCTGGCAGGCAGGAGGAAAAGAGGAAGATGGATGGATGCTGTGAAGAAGGACATACAGAGGGTTGGTATGACAGAGGATGATGCATAGGGTGAAATGGGGATAAATGAGCCATTGGTGACTCCTAAAGCAGCGGTCCCCAACCTTTTTTGAGCCATGGACCGGTTTATGCCCGACATTATTTTCACGGACCGGCCTTAAGGTGTTGCGGATAAATACAACAAAATAAAACTAGTACCGGGAAAAAAAAGAAGATTTATTCATAACACACCTGAAAAGACCCAGGAAAACAGAGTTAACGATAAAAACGATAACAAAATAACGCTGAAAACCGATAAAAACCCTGAAAACCATACATTTCACACCTGAGCCTCAACTCTCGTGGCCCGGTACCAAACGACTCACGGACCAGTACTGGCCCAGGGGTTGGGGACCGCTGTCCTAAAGGGAGGAGTCAAAAGAAGAATAAGATGATGATGGAACAGTCGCCTCAAGGTGCTTTATATTGTAAGGTAACATAAGCGATTAAAAACTCCAACAATCAGGAGAACTTGGTATCTATGGGGAGGAAGAACTCTATTTTAACAGGAACCAGCAGAAGCAGGTTCAGGGAGAAGCTGTCTGCTATGACCAGTTGTGGGGAAGAGAAGAAAGACCAACTTTATGCTCACGCTAATTGTATTTTGTGATGTGTTTTAGGTGAAGAATAAAGCTCCGGCAGAGGTTCAGATCACTGCAGAGCAGCTGCTAAGGGAAGCCAAAGAGAGAGAGCTCGAACTCCTGCCACCACCACCGAAACAGAAGATCACCGATCAGGAGGAGCTCAATGACTACAAACTGAGGAAGAGGAAGGTAAGCGCTTCCATCATATTTTCTCTGCTGGTAGTGTTCACATTGCTCTTACTCATACCGCCCTTTCTGCAATAATTTTTAACAGCTTTATTTTTGTTTTAAAAAGCCAGCATAAAATATTTGAAGTGTGTTGCTCTCTTGTTTTACTTTTGCTCTAATACTCATGCTTAGTTAAACAAATGTGTTTGTAGTTTTAATCTAACCGGAAAATTTGAGACGTTTGCAGCACACAAAAATATGTTTTTATAGTTTTTGGACATGACGAATATCTTTTTCTTTCAGAGCTTTGAGGACAACATCAGGAAGAACCGGACCGTCATCAGTAACTGGATCAAATACGCACAATGGGAGGAAAGTCTGAAGGAGATCCAGAGGTACTGAGGCAAAATCTGCTGAAAGTCAGAATATTAAATGGCTACAACTTCGCAGGGGTCCAATCACAAACATCTTAGTCTTGGTCGTACTGAAATAAGTGGAATTGGTCATCACATCTTTTAACATTTTAGTAAACTTTTTAGAAATATTTCTCATGCCCATGTGTCTGCATGGTCCACTTTTACCTCACCAACGGTTACCCTCGTTTCAGAGCTCGTTCCATTTACGAGCGGGCGCTAGATGTCGATCATCGCAACGTCACTCTGTGGCTAAAGTACGCCGAGATAGAGATGAAAAGCCGCCAGGTGAACCATGCCCGCAACATCTGGGACAGAGCCATCACCATCCTCCCACGAGTCAACCAGTTCTGGTAGGACTTAAAAATCATTTAATTGCTTTATTTATTTATTTCTTGATTGTTTTGTTTTCTAAAATATCAGCAGGCTTTGACAAGTGGCACAGTCACAATTTTGTCCTTTTTTGTAGTTAAAGATTAAATAAATGCATTTGTTGGCTGATACTTTATTGACGCTTATCTAACAATAGAGTAGCTGAGATGTAATCGGACGTAAACGATGTGTTCTAAACTTTGAAAAGTGCATCGTGTGTGAGTGTGAGTCTGCTTGTGATTGTACAGCTCTGATGGAGAGTCTTTGCTGTGCATCTGTTGTCTGTTTTTGTTAAATCTTCTGTTTGTAATATTTTGAATGCTGTTCCTTTGCACAGGTACAAGTACACCTACATGGAGGAGATGCTGGGAAACATCGCCGGCTGCAGGCAGGTCTTTGAGCGATGGATGGAATGGGAGCCTGAAGAGCAGGCCTGGCACTCTTACATCAACTTTGAGCTGCGCTACAAGGAGGTGGAGAAGGCCCGCACCATTTATGAGCGATATATCCTTTTGTTGCTTTACTAACATGCAGGATACTGGGAATTGTTTCCCCACAGTTAAATTCAAACAATATAATAAAACTTTAAAATACAGAAACAAAAAGCGCGATCAGGGTGATGGTCTGAGTCGTCCCACAGAGCCTGAGTTCATTATTATCAGGGCTGTTTTCTTCTCAAAGCTACAAATTATGTTCTCCGAAGGACAACAAAGGTTGCTGTCAGACTTCCTCTTTATATGTTTATGTAAACTATAATATCACTTTTTATCAACTCACCTTCAAGGTGGAAGAATAAACCCTAAAATACTGATTAACCTTGAGGAATGCCTTTTCCTTGCCTCCCCTGGTTCCCCGTCTCTGTGTGTGGTCGGGGCTTCACAAGCCACACAGAATCATCTCTTCTGTTGGAGCATTTCTCCCCAGTTTTCTTCATCCTCCACCTCCATCTAGCTGTCTTTACTGTTGCTGAACACTTTATTCATGCTATTATTTTATTCTGATTGTTTTATCTCACGACCTTTGTGATTGTGCGTTTGCCTTAACTTCGCTGCACTTGTCATCGTTCACCCTGAGGTGAAAAACTGGATCAAGTACGCTCGCTTCGAAGAGAAGCACGGCTACATCGCCCACGGCAGGAAGGTGTACGAGCGGGCAGTGGAGTTCTTTGGGGAGGAACATGTAGACGAAAACCTCTTTGTGGCCTTCGCCAGGTTTGAGGAGACTCAGAAGGAGGCGAGTGCAGCTCAGACTTCTCAAACTTCTTTCTGGCTTTCATTTTGTTGGAGATCATATTGTGTAATGTATTTATTTACTTTTGTTCTCTACCTTTGCAGTTCGAGCGAGTCCGGGTGATCTATAAGTACGCTTTGGACAGAATCCCTAAACATCAGGCACAGGAGCTCTTCAAAAACTACACCATGTTTGAGAAGAAGTTTGGAGACCGCAGAGGAATCGAGGATGTCATCGTCAGCAAGCGAAGGTTCCAGTACGAAGAGGAAGTTAAGGTATCAGTTTTAAGGTATTACGTCTGGAAATCTGTAGAAAGTGGAACAAAGGAGGAAGATGGGTTCATTTTCCTTGTCTACAGATTTAACGCCCTGATTGGTTTGTTTTCTTTGTACTGGTGTAAGAAACAAAATAGGCTTCGTATTTGGGGTTTTCGCTTAATTGTTAACTTGCAGGTTTTATGTCACCTACTCTGCTGTTTGGGAAAGTTACGGGGAAAATGAAATGCTAAAAAAATAAATCATACACTCATAATTCCAGGCGAATCCACACAACTACGACGCCTGGTTCGATTACCTCCGTCTGGTGGAGAGCGACGCCGACGCAGATACGGTGAGAGATGTCTATGAAAGAGCCATCGCCAACATCCCACCCATCCAGGAGAAGAGACACTGGAGGCGATACATCTACCTGTGGATCAACTACGGTCTGTATGAGGAGCTCGAGGTCAAGGTGGGTCCATCATTCGGCATCTTGTTAACCTCCAAAGTAAATGACACAGATCTGAATCATGTTCTCAAGCAGCAGACATAACCAGGCTGTAAAGAAATGTAAAACGAGACGTCTGACAGTGATGTGTGCGATTAAACAAAACTCTGTGATGGCAGGATCCCGAGAGAACGAGGCAGGTTTATCAGGCCTGTCTGGAACTCATCCCCCACAAGAAGGTAATTTACACATTAAAGGCCGCACCTCTTCAGTGAAACCACTCATGCATTATAGTAAAGGTGTTCTTGTGTAAAGGTGTTCACCTGATTGTGTCTGTCGTTGTTTTGTTTCAGTTCACATTTGCTAAGATTTGGCTGCTCTTTGCTCAGTTTGAGATCCGACAGAAGAACCTGCAGGCAGCCAGAAAGATCATGGTAAGAGTCCTCAGATGCACGTGCAAAAGCACCACACGTTGTGCAGTCAGATGTAAACTGAACGCACAGAGTGCTGCATTATGTTACATTTTGGGTGACTTAATAAGTAGTTTTTAAAAAAACGAGCTTCCGTTCATGCTTTCCTTGTATCAGTCTTATTGCAGAGGATGGGGGTAGAGCAAAAAGTGTCTTTTAAAGTAATAAAAGCAAAACTTAAAATCAGGCGAAAGAAAACGGAATGAGTCTGTAAAAAGAAAACTTTTGCAGAACAAAGGCATCTCCTCTTCCTCGCCTTCAGTGCCCCTCTTGCTCTATGCCGAGTTCAGTCAGATGAGTGTAACTCACTGGCTCCACAGGAAGAATGGCATCAGCGTCTGTGTCCGCTTTCTTCTCATCAGTATTTCTCTCCTCAGGGCACGGCGATTGGGAAATGCCCGAAGAACAAACTGCTGAAGGGCTACATCGAGCTGGAGCTGCAGCTGCGAGAGTTCGACCGCTGTAGAAAGCTGTACGAGAAATACCTCGAGTTCACCCCCGAAAACTGCACCACCTGGATCAAGTTTGCTGAGCTGGAGACAATCCTGGGAGACGTCGAGCGGGCTCGGGCCATCTTCGAACTCGCCATCGGGCAGCCACGGCTGGACATGCCAGAGGTAACTGGAAACCTCACACAAACGCTGCCCCCTGGTGGTGAAAGTTAAATAGCATTTTAATGATGGGAGGAAAAGAAATGCCTTCTTACCTATTTTTGGAATACTTTTAAATCAGGGGTCATGTGAAGGAAGAGGAGAAGAAGCCTGGTGAGTGAGATACAGTGGGTGCGTCACAGTGACGCACTCAAGTGTGGTGTTCAGGTTTTGAACTTATTCGACTGTTTTTAAAGCTTCTTATTGTGATTTTTGTGAACATCACATTTCATCATCAGTTTTTACTGTCACAGTAATTCATCTCCTACAGTGTACTCCATTCATAGGACAGGAACCCAGACTAAACAGTTGATAGGCAGCTTCATGTAATCCTGGATTAGTGTTCATGAAGCAAAGTGAGATCAAAGTCAAGCTGGTTTCTGTTTAAAAATCTTAACATTTTGTAAAATGATCCTTTATTTTAATTTCTTTTAAAAACCTTCCCGTAGCTTCATTTTCACTGAAATATGTTCGACTTCTTATCTCACGCTTCACATTGCTGCCCTGCTGATGAATTCAGCGCACTCACGTCTGTTATGCCTTCAGGTTCTGTGGAAGTCCTATATCGACTTTGAGATTGAGCAGGAAGAGTTTGAAAACACCAGAAACCTTTACAAAAGGCTACTGCAGCGCACTCAGCACGTCAAGGTGAGAGCTGCACTCCACAAACCTGATCCCAGATCTAACAAACGGTCTAACAAACTGTCTATAGTAAAAATATTTCATGGCTTTCGTGTGACCTGCCAGCCATCAAGCTCTGTGCTTACCGTCTTCTTCTCCTGCAGGTTTGGATCAGCTACGCCAAGTTCGAGCTGTCGGTGGACGGCCCCGACCGACTGCAGAAGTGCCGGCAGATCTATGAGGAGGCCAACAGGAGCATGAGGAATTGCGAGGAGAAGGAGGAGAGGCTGATGCTGCTCGAGTCCTGGAGAGACTTCGAGAAGGAGTTCGGCACAGACAGCACTAGAGAGCGGGTGAGGAAGCTGCTGCCGGAGAAGGTGAAGAAGAGGAGGAAGCTGACTGCCGAGGATGGGGTAAGAGATGGACATTGTCACAGCAGGATGGTGACAGCCACCAGAAATGTTTTCTCAAATACTGATTTTTTTTTATACACAAAAATAACTAATGGATTAATTAAAAACCTAATTTACAATAATTGGATCGTTCTTATTTGTTCTGATATAATTCCATCCCATCAGTCGGACGCTGGCTGGGAAGAGTACTACGATTACATCTTTCCAGAGGACGCCGCCAATCAGCCCAACCTCAAGCTGCTCGCCATGGCCAAGATGTGGAAGAAGCAGCAGGTCATCACGGAAGACGATGAGACGCTTCCAGAAAATGGTCCGCCGGCGGCTGAAGAGACAACAAAACAGTCTGTGGAGGCGGCAGCTTCTCCTGAGAATCGGCTGACGACTGCGTCCAGCAGAGAAACTGCGGCTGAGATGGAACAGGAGAAAACGTACGATGACCGAGACGACGACAACGGCAGCAGCAGCGGGAGTGAGGGTGAGGAGGAGGAGAAAAAAGGTGGAGAGAGGAAGGAGAGCAGGAGCAGCGAGGAAGATAAAGAGTAAATTCCCCGCTCAGGGACTCGAGGGGAGCAGACAGTCTGGATTTTTCTAGTATTTTTTTAATTACTTTTTTTTTTTTTTTAAACACGAGTCTTTATTGTATGTTTTCTTTGTGCGATTACACAAACATCAGCTCAAAGTCACGTGTTGTGTGTTCTTTTTCTAAATGTTCATTTAATATTTACAGTAGATGAAACTCTTTGTAGGACCAGTGGCTCTCTGAGGAATGACAGTTTATCAATGTACGAGTATCACAGAGTCAGAGAGCCACAGTCTGCTGTTATTCGATGTCCTCGGGTCTGACGGGGTGCGGCAGTGGGATGATCGACTTCTTCTCCGTGTCTCTGGACAGAGCTTTCCTCATGTCTGAAGGAGAAAGGCAGCAGGTTTTGTCCTTTAGTAACACACTTCGTAAATTAATAAAAACCATGTAAATTTAAGTGTAGAGCAGAAGGCACAGAGCTGTCGGTGAGCTGAACGGGGCTGTATTAGAGTCTCTCACTGTTGTTTCAAAACTAACATCAGCAGTTAAATTAAAAGTTTAAGTATTCTGTCAGTGCACCACCGTTTAAGATCCACACCGGTCAGACTGACAGCAATCGGAAAACGATAAAACATCTGATGATGGAACACTGTACAGCATACAGTGGTAATGGCCTGTATTTGTATAGCACTTTACACATCCAGTCATCCACCCATTCACACACTGGTGATGGCAAGCTACATTGTAGCCACAGCCACCCTGGGGCGCACTGACAGAGGAGATGAACCTGAACGAGTGTCAAATTTCTCAAGAGAGGTTGAACTTGAGACAGACCCCATGTGGAACATCTGTCACATGAGAGATATTCAAGTCCTTACCAATTTGAAAACAAATTCGGGTGGCTGTGGCTCGGGAGGTAGAGCACGTCATCGACTATCTCCAAGGTTAGTAGATGACCTGTAGTTGGTTGGTGGTTTGAGGCACTTTTGGGGGTCAAATGCACTCGAATACAGTTCAGATACATGTTGCTTCATGCAGATCATAAAAATCTGTTGTTTACATCCTGCTGCAGAGGTCAGAATAATTCATGATGATGCTAAAAGCTGCCGTACATCTGTGCACCAATTCAAGTCTCCTGGATCGTTTTAATATTGCTCATTGCTATGGTAACGTCTCTGTGCAAATCACATCAGCTGTGAGTTTAACAGCTGGGGAAGGCAATAAAGGAAGCAACTTTCTGATTGGCTGCAGATGCAGTTAGAAACCTTTCTGAGATAAAAATGACTCTGCTGCGATCTTACCATAAGCATCTTCATCTGGCTCTCCATTGCTGGCAGAGTAATACTCTATGACTGTCCTGTACACGCTGTAGCCCAGACGTTTGTACATGTTCACTGCCACCTGGTTGGACACTCGTACGAACAGATCCACGAAGAATCCGCCTTTCCTACAACAGGTCAAAGTCACAGATGTCAAAAATCAAGAGATTTGAAAATGTGAGGGATAGGCTCGCACAGTTTTCATCCCAGTCCTGATACGAACCTCTCTGAGATCTCCTCCAGCATTTCCATGAGTTTGGCGGCCAGGCCAAGCCGTCTGAACTCCGGGGCCACGGACAGAGCGGTGACGTGGCCGTGCCACTCCTCGCGAGCCACAGATCCCTCCGCCTTCCCCATAACTGCAAGAAAGTTCCACATGACCTCAGACTCAGGCGAGAGTCACAGGATTTATTTTAAACTGTCCAGGATCAGTTCTAAATCTGCACCCTCTGTTCAAACAGGCTTGCATATAGCTGCAGGTCTGCTCAGTGCGCCACCTTCAGTGTCTAAATCATGTCAGAATGAAACGGCACCACATGCTGTACAAATAAATGAATCAATGCATAATTAGCTTTAGTCATCCATAACACACTTCCTTTGGAGGAGTCATCTGTAGCCTGTCTCCAAACCTTTGAACAGGTAGGAGGCAGTCTTTGGACGTTTACAACTCAATAAATGTGTGAGAGAGTTTCACAGCATCACAGAGCAGTCAGGTTAGGGCTCATCTTTCCATGGATCAGCCCTCTGTTATTCTAGGCTTTTTGAAGGCCTCCCCGTAAAATGACCTGCTGCTCTGACCTTTCTTTTTTTGTGTGGTACATGGAAAAGCTGCACATGAATCAGGTTGGATATGAAACAAAACAGGATAAGAATCATGCCCTTGCGGTGTCATCGCTGCACAGAAGTTTTGTTCTGATTTTAGTTTGAGGGGGAATGGACACATTTTGGACAAGGCAGAACATATGTAGACCGACACTCCCATCCTTCTCCGCAAACTACACCCAGATGAGGTAAATACAAATATATGTATTTTCCTGTATGACTTATTATTATGTCATTTTAGAGGCTAGCATGGTTTCTCGAGAGTTAAAAGATGACCTTAACCTCTGTGGAGGCAGGAGGACTTACTGTAGCCCATCAGTTCTCCTCCAGGAGCCTCAGCAACAATAAAGTACTCCGGCCAGTGAGCGAGGTACTGCAGGTAAAACGGGATCCCATACTGGAGGTCAAAGGTTAAAGAAAACTATCCAGAGTAAGAGGAAACACACTTAAAATACGCTTTATATAATGTCAGGTACTCCTTATTATTACTGCATCGGTGTAATTAAATGTGGATGCCATCCACGGGTGGGCCCTGAAGCTTAAATAAGCAGAACACAGGTAAAGGATACAGTCTCTGTGAGAGGATCCAGGTTTCTGATGGACAAAACACACAAAAACATCAATGAGCCGTTAACATTCACATCCAATTATCCATTTCCTACCAAGCCCTTTCGTTATTCTAACATGGAGAGAAACGAACAAAACTCAACAGAAATAACGGCAAATTTATAATTTTTAGCATCACATATGGGCATTTAAGTTACGCAAATAGCCTAAATGTTTCCGTTGTGTCTATAGGAAAATTCGGCATGTCTTTGCTGGACTTAAACCCAGACTTTAATTCCACACACACACACACACACACATACATATACATATATATATATATATATATATATATATACAGCTTCTTCTTAATCCTGCGTGGTCTCGGTGTGCCGAGTATGTAGCAGCTTTGCCAACAAAACTATAATTTTCAGTTATTAAACGTAGAAGGTTGTTTAACAACATGCTGAAAGTGTTGAGGTCTGTATGACCCGAGTCGCTAAATGATGTGATTTTTGCATGAAGTTTGGTCAGGAATGGCGCAGCCGCACACCGAACACACAAGCTGCATCCATTCCCATCAGTCAACGTCAGTCACACCAGAAACAGCGTTAAATTACAGCTTATGTGCTAAAAGAACGAAACCCTACTCACATATTGTTGAATTTAAACAAATCATCGCATGTAAACGGCCGCAGAGTTGTCATCTTGGCTCACTGTAGCGTGACCTTTCACCCCATAGAGACAACGAGATATCGGCTACCTTTAGGAGGCGATGAAAAAGGAGCAGCGTCCCCAAAGGGATATGGCAGGTACTACACTATTGACAAAAACTAGATTTTTAAGGGTTTGTAATTTTATCGTCGCAGAATCAGCTGATTAATTTCAGTATATTTAAGGTTTGCCTTCATGCTATAAAAACTGTATTTGAAAAGTATTTTTTACCCATGGCAGCTTATACGATGAGCCTGGTGTCAGAATGTATGTTAAAAAAAAAGACCTTTCATATGCTTTAGCTTTTGTTCAGCCAGCTATCCCACATGGTGATATGACCCTCGAACGTTTGTCCAAAATGCACTTTGAAGTTTTCTGCAGTGAATTCTCAAAGAGCAGGTCAAACATCCAGAGTATCGGTTCCTCTGCATCACAGATGTTAAACGGGTGCAGTTCAGCTGTTAAACTATGATACTGATACTCATATAAAAACAAACTGCAAGATTAAGTCTTTGCATTGTGACTCTTGGGTTGCGTGTAATATTTATTTGCAGTTTTTAACGGAGCATAAAGTTATTTTTCAGTTGTTTTTCATTGTCCTTATGCATTTCAGCCCACTCCTATGTACTTTGAGGGCATTTAACTCAGAAAATATTCATAATATGAATGTAAAATTTTGCATTAAATAAACTTCAGTAAAGTTATTATTCTTTTTCTTAATTATTCTGGGGGTGGTCATGTGGGAGCCTTTCTCATATTTGACTGATTTGAAAACTTCGAACAAAAGCAACAAAAAATGTCTTTCTTCTGCCAGGGGAGGGCGCCATATCCAAATAAATCAACAGACACTTGAGGACAGACTGACAGTGAAGCCTCTGTAATCTGTGTGCAAGGATTAATGAGACATTTAATCTTCTTAATAATGAGATATTGTTTGGAGTGTTCGTGTATATGCGCAAAAATAAGAGGAAGGAGAATCCAGCAGGGAGCACTATGAGAAACCTTCTGAGAATACATGTTTCTCTTGGCACAGACCTCACGTTCATCTGCAGTTTCTGTTGGGTGGGTTCTTCTCTGTTGTCTGTTTTAATTCACCTGAGCATGTCAGCCCCGGGCCACTTCTGCTATCAGCCCACACCCACCACAGATCATTTAACACTTTAAAGTACCCAGATGAGCTGCAGCTCCCATCTGAATGAAAACCAACAGAAAGGAATCTGCTGTGAAAGATAACATGCTGCTTCTGTGATTAAACAGTGCTGAAAACTACAGACAGAGACACAAAGAGAGTAACTGCTACCTGTCTGCATAAAATAACACTAATGCTGGAGAAATATTTAAGTAATAAGCAGCAGGGGTGGTTGGAAATGTGTCTGTGCTGCTGTTCTCCTGAGCTGATGAGAGCTTCTCAGCCTCCAGGAGGTGCTAAATAGTCCATTCTTCATTTCGTTGAACATGATTTAACAGCTGATTTTGTTGTAAAATGTTGGTATGATAGACTTTAAGGTTATAACACAATACAATTTATTTCTAAACAACATTGCTGCACTCCATTCCTGTACCTTTTGTTTAAAATAGTTTAAAAGTAACCAAATGTAATAAAATCTACCTTGAGCTGCTCCCGTGTCAAAAGAGGCCACCACAGTGGAACCGAACAAAAGCTTGACACAGATTGTGTAAAAATAACCACTTAACCTTTGTGTCTAAAAGATACCAAATGAAGGTAAACTAGGGCTGGGCTGTACTTTTGTGTAATACCAATTTGCTCCACAAGATGGCGCAGGAGGTTGACATCCACTGGTCAAACATTGCCCCCTCCTGGTGAAGGTTTTACTTCAGTTCTTATTAAAAAGGTCCTTTAAAAAACGTAACGGCATTTTTGTTTAGTTACATATGCTAAATACAACACATGCCTGTCAATGTGACATGTAAATGTAACAGATTTTCTTATATTGCCTTTTTGTCATATTGTTTATTGGTTTGAGACAAAAGTTTTTTGTAACATGTTAATCCTAGTTTTTCATCAGTTAGGATTGTTACAAGCTCACATGTATACATTTGAGGGCTCTGCAACTACCTTTGATTAGTTGCGAGTTAAGATTTATTTCATCTTAAAGTTAATGTGAGTCTTTTTCTGTTTTTTTTTTTTTTTTGTTATTTAACAGGAAAAAAGCTTGTATGCTCATAAATATCCATTTATTAGTGTGTATTTACATCTTTTAAAAACTAATGTGTAGTTGTAAACTTAGAATTAATCTATTAAAAATACATAGGAGCAGGTTTGTGGAAGCCGCCACGTTGCCGTGGCTTCCACGTGGAGGAGATGAATGCCATCATTCCGTCTAATTATGTTTTGGGTAGTTGCCTAGAGATGGACCACATATGTAGTAAACCTTACAAGTTACTTTAAATATCAAGACCATAAATAGCTCCTTCAAACTATATAGCCCCTGAACTGAAGCCAAGGCTCTAAAACAAACATAAAATAAATAAATAAATAAATAAATAAATAAACAAATAAATAAATAAATAATAATAATAATAAAGTTATTTATATAGCACTCTTCAAAACACAGAGTTACAAAGTGCTTCACAGTTCAAATAAGAGCCACACGCTGAAGATAAATGTACATGTTAAAACATACAAACACATAAATACACACATAATCAGCCACACCGACAAACATTTATTCCAACATACACACATACATGCACACATGGTTTCAAACTATGGCAACGAATGAAGGGAACGGATTAATGAAACTCTATAAAAAAGAGTTTTCAGCATTCGCTTAAAACAAATAACAGAGTCGGCCGATCTGATTGACTGAGGAAGGCTGTTCCACAGTTTGAGCGCTACAACCTCAAAAGCACAGATCACCTCTGTTTTTAAAATCACAGCGAGGATAGGAAGGCCCTGGTTAGACGATTGAGAGGTCGGCTGCATGGATAAGATGTTAGAAGCTCAGGTAAATAAGCAGCTATATAAGTTTATAACAGAATCTTATAGTAGATCCTGAA